ACGAAATAATGACCAAATTAAAGGAACTACTATAGATGACTCAGAGTATCTCATCTCACAATATGCAGATGATACTTCTCTTATACTTGATGGATCACCACAATCATTGGATGCATCTCTCCGTACTCTAGATAAATATGCACAATTATCAGGTCTCAATATAAATTTAGACAAGACAACGGTTGTTTGGATTGGGAAGAAAAAGTTTAGCCAAGAAACTACGTGTGTTAAGTGGGAATTGGAATGGGGTTCCAGCAGATTTACATTTCTTGGGATAAATTTCTCCGTGAATCTTAATGAAATTGAAAATTTAAACTATGACCCCAGGATGAAAGAAATCGAAAATACTATAAAAACTTGGACAAACCAAATACTCTCCCCAATTGGAAAAATAACAGTGAAAAAACACTAATAATATCAAAATTAAACCATTTATTCCTATCCATACCTAGTCCAAATAGTACAAAGCTTAAATATTTTACTGACAAAATATTTTCCTTTATCTGGGATAACAAACCAGATAAAGTTAAAAGAGAAACTTTATCCAAACCACTGTTCAGGAGGTCTAAAAATGATAAATATTGAAAACTACATAACAGGTTTAAAATTAACCTGGATAAGAAGAATTAATAAAAATAATTCAAAATTTGTGAATCTATTCCTCTTTTCAGAAAATTTGAATTTTTTGGATATGCAATTTCTAGGCCCATATAAAAAGCTGAAAAATCCATTTTGGAAAGAAGTATTTGATGCTTGGAATGATCTTCAAAATATTCAAGATAAATCTCAAATTAAAAGAGGGAAGAAAGATACCAGAGGGACAGTCAAACTCATAGATCGAAAACAAACCGACAACGCCATGGCCAAAAATAAAAAGACAAACAGACAAACAATAGTACAGATGACACAACATAGAAAACCAAAGACTAAGCAACACGAACCCCACCAAAAATTGGGGGTGATCTCAGGTGCTCCGGAAGGGTAAGCAGATCCTGCTCCACATGTGGCACCCGTCGTGTTACTTATGTTATTACAAATCCGGTAAATAGTCTAATTCGGTATGTCACATTCGTGAAAAGGGAGGGTATTGTAGTTACGACATAAGGAACATATCCGATATCATCAGTGAAACGGTTATTCCATAACGGTCAACCAACTCGTGATGGCGTCCGTAAAATTTACGAATGGATGACTTCAACTTCACCATTTGGAACTCTTGGTTTAATAGCTTCCTTGTGAGCAGCAATCCTCTATCAAGGAAATCATGATAGGAAACACAAGCTCGGGAATATCGTATCAATTGGGAGATATATACTCCGTATGCAGGCGCTGCTGGAATGTTGCTACAGAGAAATGGAAAGTTTACAATTGGGAAGCTGAAATCATCTCTTTTGTCGTAAAGTTTTGTTTTCAACCGACCCTCATTGTCAATTTCTAGATGTTAGTCAACATATGAGGCAGACTTAATTGTATCTGTAGTATCCTTTATCTCTAGTTCGATGGGATAGATTCGTTCAACATAGTCACCAAATTTTGTATTATTTAGTGAGAGAACATCATCTATATAGCGGAACGTAGAGTTAAAGGACATTGCTAACTTCTTATCTTTCTTCCTAAGAAGTTCCTGGATGAAATCAGCCTCATAACAATACAGAAACAAGTCGGCAAGAAGAGGGGGACAATTGGTTCCCATTGGAATTCCGACAGTCTATTGAAAAACACGTCCTCCAAACGTAACAAATATGTTGTCAATGAAGAAATCAAGCATCTTGATAATGTCAGTTTCAGAGAATTTTTTGTTTGAAACAGAGTGATTCTTTACAAAGTAGGATTTATCCCTCCCCAAGACAAGATACTTGTATCTACGTTCGACATTCTTTTTAATGAAACAAAGTAATACCAACTCTTTCAATTTGTCTTTTAGTTTGGAATCGGGAATACTTGTGTAAAGTGTAGAAAAGTCAAATGTTTTAATACTATTGCAAGATGAGAGAGTCTTAGATTGTATGTACTCTAAAAGATCTTTGGAATTTTTTAGTAACAACATCTGATTCACGCCACCTCTAGAATAGGCAGTTTCACAATAACTTTGGAGCTCGGCTTTGATTGCTGATAAAATAGATGTTAATAATTTAGAAAGAGGTTTCACACATGCAATATATGGAAGAATGATGAAATAAAGATTGGTAATCAATCAGTTTTATATAAAGAATGGACTAAAGATGGGATTTGGCCGATTAGATGAATGAGGAAATTTCATGACTTTTGATAACTTTAAAAATGTATACAATATCAAAACTAATTTCCTTACATATCAAGGCTTAATTTCTGCAATAAAAAAGAATTTAAAAGAATATAATATATGTCCCAATGACTTAGAGAAAATGGCCCCGTTTTGCCCTAAGTTATTAAAATATTTTTTAAATCCCCGAGAGGTTCAAAAGATATGTATAATATTTTAAATAGTAAAAAGTCAAATCTTAAACAGAAGTGTGAACAAAAATGGTCTTTAATTCTCAATACAAACTACAATTGGAAAAATATCTATATATTGCCCTTTTATATTACTAAGAATTCTAAACTGCAGTGGTTTCAATACAGAATAATTTGTAGTTTTGGGTGTGGAGAGGTCGAAACAATAGAACATATATTCTGGACTTGTCTGTATATATCAAAATTATGGGAGGACCTTTACTTCTGGATATTTGAGAAAAAGAAATAGAACTAACTTTAAATAAAGATTTGGTTTTATTTGGTATTCTAACGAAAACCGATCAAAATGATATAAGAAACTAAATAATTCTGTTAACAAAATTCTATATCTATAGAAGCAAACTATCGTTGGTACAAACCAATATGATAGCACTAAAAAAATATTTAAAAGAAAACTTATGAATAGAAAAAAATATATTTTATAAAGATAAAAGTCTGAGTAGGGCAGATAACTGCTGGAACCCCTGGACTCCTTTATTATCAAAAAAACAAAGATAAACAACAGACACCATATGTTGTATAAATTAAAAATATTTATTCTTTGTCCAAGCAGCCTCTGTCTTTCAATCATATTCTGCAATGTATTAAACAATTTAAGCTGTGTCTATTAATTTAAAATATGTCAGATATCTTCTGTCTGTATATTTTATATTGTGCATAAAATGTGTATAACTTACTATTATGTTCATTTGCAAATAAAAAGAAATTCATTATAAAAAAAAAAAAAAAAAAAAAAAAAATATTCATATATCATTAGAAGCAATGTATTTGTCAAATCATATATGGTTTGTGTTTTTTCAGTTGATTCGTTCGGAATGGGAACAAATCAACCACAGGACTTGGCGGAAATGCAGCTGCATTGTGTTCTAAAGAAGGCAAACCTTCTTCAGTATTATGACAGTTTCATAAGGCAAGGTATAATGTACGGTATATTGAATATTAAAGATTTAACATGAAAAATGTAGTGTTTATAGAAATAAGATGTGATTTGATTACCAATGAGCCATATATCTACCATACACTAAATGACATGTAAACATCCATAGTACAATATACAGTCTTCAACAATGAGCAAAAGTTATATCGATTTAGGCTAAAACAACTAGGGAAAAAGAAATAAGGTAGACAGTAATCAACGAAAACCTCCGAATGACAGGCTCCTTTTATTAGGATAGGCATCTCTTTTCTTATCTAGCAAATAAGGGCGCAGCATTTAATTAATATTTTGGTGAGAGGATGGATGGAGTTTCTCGTTTTAACAGTAAACAACGAAAATTGCACCACTCGAAATTGTTATTATCTATTATCTTGAACATCTACACATACTAAATTGTGTATGAATAATCTTTTTAGGTGAGTGCAATGTACTCAAGTTATCTAATGAGGAAGATGAGAGGTTTAAAGACGTAATGGAAAAAGTTGGAATGGATAATAAACCGTTGCATGTTCGACAATTTCGAAAAACCCTTCTTGAATGGACGAAAGATCCAGGTATACCAATATATATACCTATTTTCCAGCGACCAATTGTTTAAAGAAATAATGATAGCGAGGTATATCTGAAGAAAAAAACCATGTTTTGATCCAAAATTGTGGAGCTAGAAAGTATCATGATAAATTTCATATTCATATTTTCTATATTCAATTTAGTGTGTTTATATTATTCTACTTCTTCATTTATTAATAAGGTTTATAATCTATAATGTAGAAACACATTGACTTGAATTGGTCTTACAAAAAAAATATATATACATATCAACGTCCTAAAAACACACATAAAGAAAATTAATCACCTGTCAACACATTTTTCTTGTTGTTGAGTATGTACATAAGAATGGTAACAGTGTTTTTTGCATCAAATACACACTTTGCAATTAATGTTTCTAATTAATACTCCGAGTTGAAATATCTGAACGAAAGATTAAAACCTAATACATTTATTGAAGAGCTGATCTCTGTCAATTCAAACACCAAACGTTGGTTTCCCCTCTTAATAGGTTACCACTGGAAACAGTGTTATAATTCTTGAACAGTTATAACCTCGTGTAAAAAGCTGCTAAATGCATATACCAATGTTTTCTAGAATTGCAATGAAATAAAGAAAAATGAAAAAAAAAAAAATGAAAATCTGTCAGTTAACATGCATGTCAACATAAATGAGATATTATCTGACTAACAAGCAACAGAAAATTCGAAACAAAAATCCATACTCATCATCAAAAAGTGTATTAACTTTTATGAAGGAGGTATTAGGAGTGCAATCAACTGGCTTATCGGAATTTTCCACACTGATGTAGTGTATGGCAAATGCATTAAAATGATTTTCACTCAAAGAAAAATGTTGAACTAATTCACTTGAAATAAGTAATTTCTTACGTTATCTGTTGTCGAATGGAATATTAGATACACTAGATAAACTTGATTTTCTAATTAGCATGCAGATCATCTGATGTCTTTATGAAATGTTTAAATCCAGTTTTTTATTATTTTTTTTTTCAGATCAGGAACAGCATAACCTCCTTCCTTACTATGATGGTTTATTAAATAGAACAGTGCTTGACAAGATGGTTCTAGATAACTTGATTTCCAGGTGTATTTTGATGATAGAGGACAGAGAGGAAATTATAAAACCAGCAACACAAAGTGAACGCAACAAGGTTCTACTTGATATTTTGACTGAACGACCATATGGGACCTTCAAGGTGTTTAAGGATGTTTTAAAAGAATCAGACCCATACAATACTGATGTTCAAGAACTTGTCAGTAGAATGCAATTTATTGAAAGCTGTGATAAAAATATCAGTTGTCATGACATAGGTGAGTAATTTAAGCTTCAAACATTAATTACCACAGAACGAAAAGTTATTATAACAACGATTATAGCAAAAACAGAAATCGGTTACTATTAAGTTTGGCACAAACATACACACACACAAACACATATTAAATGGTCATATGAAGCCATTCGTAAAATAAATGTTGAGTTCATCATTTTTTTCTCCTCTTTATAATAAGCTAACATTAATACCATACTAGTATTTGTATACTAGTAATCCATAACCGTTTACCCTATAATTTTAGTATAGTTTAAAAGGTGTTCACGGGTCAATTATATAAAAAAATGTTGATTTCATGATTTTTGTTTACCTTTGCCACGTGTATAAACGGCGCCTTCATGGGAGTTACTCAAATTCAAATGTAAATAATATGAAAGACCAATACTTGTAAGTATTACAATACCAATGCAACCCTTAACAACTGGTCTTAGAAATAAAATCAATATACCAACAATTTTGATTACCCCTTATGTCTCTACAGTTGTTTTTTTTTAACAACTACATGGATACACACCTTTTTAAACTTTCTTACATTTCAGTTTTCCATGAACACATTGTAAAGCTACAAAAGAATTATATGATGTTTGTCCATGATGTATATAGCAAAACTGATATAGCTGACTACCTATATGAAACAGGAGTCTTAAATACTGAAGAAAAAGAGGAAATTTGTAGTTCTTCAATTACACGACACGAAAGTAATAGAATTTTATATGCAAAATTGTTTCGCAAAGGTGAAGACGCATACAAGCATCTTCTTAAAGCTCTACGACATGGACAGTATGAAGACATTACGTCTAATATAGAGAACACTCAAGTTTCAGAGCATGAAATACAGTTGTGTCAATTAGGTAATTACAACAAATTCTAAAATAAGTGATGCACTAGAATTAATGTTACTAATGCATTGGCCTGTGTTGCCAATAGTTCACTTATACCTGAATTTCAAAACTTTGCCCTCAAACTTACTTTATTACAATGATAAAAACATAAAATACGAAGCAAACCCACAAAAATAAAAGTATTTCTGTAAATACCATTTAACACCCCTGTTACAATATTTTAGTTCAAAAGCGTATAAATAGCCTGGTCTTGGTTTTAGATACATGATATTTTTGTATTAGTTGTTATAGGCTTTGATTTAGCTATCAGCAGCTGCGAGAACTCACTTATCTGTATTTAGTGTCATTTTGTTGTGGGATGTATAAGTAACCGTCTACGTCCACTCTGTGTTTTTGATAGATGTATTTCTATTTGTATCTATCTGATGAGCTAAGCCTTTTTCAACTGATTTTTATAGTTTGTTCTTATGTTGTACTGTTACACCACTGTCCCAGGTTAGGGGGAGGGTTTGGCGCCAAAAAACAATTTTAAGCCCTCCACATTCTTGAAGTGTCTGTTCCAAGTCAGGCGCCTGTAATTAAGTGGTTGTCGTTTGTTGCTGTGTAACATATTTGTTTTTCGTTCATTATTTTGTACATAAATTAGGCAGTTAGCTTCCTTTTTGAAATGTTTTACATTTGTCATTTCGGGGATTTTTATAGGTGAGTGTGCTGTATGGGCTTTGTTCATTGTTGAAGGCTGTACGGTGACCTATAGTTGTTAAAGAAAAAGAGGGGCGAAAGATACCAAAAGGGACATTCAAACTCACAAGTCGAAATCAAACTGACAATGCCATGGCTAAAAAAGAAAAAGACAAACAACAGCACACAAAACACAACATAGAAAACCAGAGACTGAGCAACACGAACCCCACCAAAAACTGGGGGTGATCTTAGGTGTTCCGGAATGGTAAGCAGATCCTGCTCCACATGTGGCACCCGTCGTGTTGCTCATGTTAGTACACATCCGGATTTAAGTCTAAATCGGTAGGTCACATTCGGGTAAAGGGGACGGGATTGTACTTACGACATTAGTAACATATCCACTATCATCTGTGAAACGAATATTCCGTAACGGTCAACCAACTGGTGATGGCGTCCGTAAATTTTACGAAGGGATGATTTCAACTGCACCACTTGGAACTCTTGGTTGAATAGCTTCCTTGTGAGCAGCAATCCTCTATCAAGGAAATCATGATAGGAAATACAAGCCCTAGAGTATCGTATCAACTGGGAGATATATACTCCGTATGCAGGCGCCATATTTGTCTGTGTCATTTGGTCTCTTGTGGAGAGTTGTCTCAGTGGCAATCATACCACATCTTCTTATTTTTATATTGTTACATGGATGGACATTTTTTCATAGATCTTCGAGGGAAATGAATATTGTTATTTTTAGAGTATTGTTTATAGGAGGCTTTTAATGATGCTGCACTACTATATCCCCAGTTAATGTTGGACAATATTGATTTATAGTAATTAAAATAGTTTTAAGTGTTTTATTTATTCATATAGGTAGTTTGTCTTGTTTCAGGAATGAAGAAACTCCGAGAAAGAGAGAAGAAAAAAGGTAAATCCAAACAACTTTAAGACATACGTCAGCCAGTCTTCTGAGATGTTACAAATGCTATGATAAGTGTGAACAGCATTTTAATTTTCAAAGCATGATCAACTTTTCAATGTGTGAGTCTAGGTCATCACTGTTTTGATTCTGCGTGCGAATTGTATCTGAAAAAAATAATGATTTCAAGTATACTAGAACACACCCGCGAAATCGCGGGCATTTAGAGCGTTGTTGAAAGTAGGTAAACTGTTGTAGGATGAATTTTGTAAATGATTTTATGACTGGAGAATTTCAGGAAAGGCATCAAAAGTCACAGGTACCTGGGGACAGGAAAATTTTTTTTAGCCCTCCCCTTTTTTTTCCAAAGTCCGTTATTTTTTGTTTTCTGTTAATTTCAATTATTTTCGCGTTTTTCTGTATACTATGATCATACATATAATATGAATAAAGTATATTTGCTATTTACTATCAATTCAAAGTTTACTATCCACGGCGGTCACTGATATATTATTATACAGAGAGTGTCTATATAATATATCAGTGACCGCCGTGGATAGTAAACTTGGAATTGATAGTAAATAGCAAATACACTTTATTAATAGTATATGTATGTTCATAGTGTACAGAAAAACGCAAAAATAATTGTCCTGTCTGCAAGTACTTATGAAAATTATGTGTAATTTTAAAACAGTCCTAAACGGAAGTTTTGTCTATGACTTAAAAGTCCGTCCTATGACGGAAACAATATCCGGACGCCTTTATTTTCGTTTTCCTCCCAAAATAACCCAAACTAAATAATCATAAGCGAGGATGACAAATGCAACTATGCATGGTACCTAAAGGACACAGAGGCATGATGATTAATTTGTTGTGGAAGGAAGAGAAGCTACACACAAAATGAGGTCTTCTCATTTAATAGTATAGATACGTCATATTTTCATATGGTCGGTGAGCTTGAGACAAACAGTTTTTGAAGCCGGATTAATAAAACATTTGGGACGTTTGAACTTAATATGCATAGTTAAACGGCAAAATAGTAAAACAATCATACATTGTTATGTAACTAAGGTCAGTAAGAATTTTGGTTGTTAACCGAAACTAACTCAGCGAGTTGTCAATGTTGCAAACTATGAAACTTGTCAAAGTAATGTATAGGAGTAACACGACGGGTGTCGCAAGTGGAACCGGATCTGCCTACTCGCCCTGAACACACGGGATCACAATGTTTGGTGCAGTTCATGTTGTTTGTCTTTTTGTCGTGTCCTTTTTATGCCATGTCTTATGAGTTTGAATGTTCCTTTGGTATTTTAAGCCTCTTTTTTATTAGTCAAGACAATATACAAAAAAAAAATTTAAAGGCTTACTTACTGGCAAACATTATTTAAAATGATAGTTGCTTCAGATCTCCAATAGAAATTGCTTATTATTCATGATTATTTTCTAACAGTAAACATTGCTTTTTACAACATACAAGATATTGTTTGATAACAAGACCCTGTTTAAAATATAAAAAAACCTAAAATTTCTACATTTGCCTTCCATAAAACTAATTGTACTTTTCTAGATTTTCATGTGATTCAAACCAAACTAGAAGATTTAACACGTATACATGATGAAGTTATCCCTTATCATATACTTGGTAAGTTTATTTAAACAAAATATTACTGCATACATTTATTAGTTGTTTTATTTTAGAAGAAAATTGTTTCATTGCATACTTTGTCCATTATATTACTCGTACTAATGTTTGAATAAATAGTGATAAGAAGTTAACGTCACTAAGCAATGTAACAGCAATTCACCAACACTAACACTTTTTTTTCAATACGTTGGTGTATTGTTAAGGTCAATAACAGCAGTGAATAAGTCTGAAAAGTAACCAAAAGTTTTAACATGTCATAGCACCTACTTGCTATTTGAGGCATAACACATGAAGAATTTTAAAAGTAAAACACTGTCAAAACTAGATATTTGTTAACAAATATAATCAATGGGCTATAATTCTGTCATCGGTCCTAATAAAAAAAAAAGAAACCGCCAACAAGGTTCCTGGCTTTGGACAACCATGTATATACAGAGTTAAACAAATATTGTTAGATTTCACCCCTACCCCTTCAATCTTAAACAATGGAATAATTTTGAAAGGTAAAAAATCATACAGCAACGCCATCAACAGTTTGGCGGCATGATCTTATGCAATTATCAGAATACATTTTTACATGTTTTTTCATATATGAAAAAATGAAAATATTTTTAATATAGACTCAAGCTGTAAATTAGCGAATTGATGAAAGCAAAATTTGGAACTGTGTTCTTTTTATCTCAATTCTTTCCCCACATTTTACTTATAGGAGAAATACGACTATTGTTTTTCCCTATTAGTCTTTGTTAAATTGTCATTTTTACAAAACATTGTACAGAATTTACCTTTGTTTTAAGTAAAGAAATACTTGGCATGAGTAAAGCTTTATCCTGTCCAGTACTACAGTGAAAATTTCACATAACATTTCATTGCATACAATATAATAACCATCACCAGAAGTAATCGAATCAAATGTTTATCCCCTTTTTTTTCTTTTTACAAGCTTTAGTAACCATGTCACCTCAAGTTTCCAAAATATTTTATAGAAACACCTAATCAAAAAAAAGAATAGTGCTTTGAAACACCCAAGATATATTTTTATGAATCAGATTTTTTTCTGCAATGAAATGCTGGGTTAACTTTCTACAACTATCAAATTCAAGGAAATATTTGTTTCTACTCTTTTCCGTATGAAACCGGATGTGATGAACTATGATTTGATGGTATCTCATTTTATAAATGGACTTTTGATCTTTGATGTTAACATTTACATTGAAGTTTGAGTTGACAATACCTCGACAAATCTTCTTGACATTTTAAGAAACGTAGGTAGAAGCTTCTTTATTAGTGGAAGAGAGATATTATGCAAATAATCGTCCAAATCGTGATACAATCATGAAATTTGGTATAAAGGTTGACTTAATTATAATAAATAAAAAACAGCTGCTGGCCATAAAAATATTCAATTTTTCAAGATAGCCAGCACTCATTTTGCAAATGGCATCATTTCAAATTAGCTACATTCTGTGAATCCTTTTAAAGCTGCGTTGTTGGTATAATCCAATGTAAATTTTGATAAAAAATAAATTACAGTTCCCAAAGTACGATGAAAAAATCCAATAATACAGAAAAAAGTGATTTCCGGTTCCAAAATGGCGGCAAAAACCTCGAAACTGTCAATTTTTATCATTTCCATCAAATGAACAGGATATATCACTTATTTTGTTCAGTTCAAATACCTAGTTAGGTTAGACAGACAGGTTGCTTTATCTAATAAATATCTAACTGACATTTGCATGTCCACAAACCCGTATAAGGAAGGTCAGAACGGTAGCTTTTACAGTTACCAACACAGCTGGATTTCTTGCATCCACATTTCGAAAGTTCCTGACACGATGATGCAACGGCAGGGCAGGAAGTCCATGTTGGTTTCCAACTGTCATTGTCTTTTTCTTTCATTCAATCCTAGTTTTCAGAACTTGGTACCTGTTGAATGCATAAATCCGTTTGAGCCCAAAAATGTCCGCCTTGATATACTGCTCTTTTGGTGGGTTCAAGAATAGCACCTCTGGTAGGCGGAATCGCATCATAAGGCCACTGCCTCCTGGTAAATAATTCAAATCGTGCCTCGTTAACAGCAAATGTTGCTGTTGTTCTGTCATACATGATGCAAACAAATGCTTCTATGATGTCCATGTCTGTGTCTTCATACTCAAGCGGGCAAAAACGTCCGTTACATCTAGAAATACTTCCCATGTCTGCCAAGCTGACTTCTTCCCTTTTCCACGAAATGATGAAACAGTGTCACATCCACTGAATGCATGGAAGAATGGAAGAGCAGCTACACGAGGACCTAACGTATTTGATATGTCATGTACTGGAAGCCATCGACAGTCTTCATTCCTCCCAAAACCTATCTACAATTTGTCCACAACTAATTTTTCAAAAGTTATAATTCCTAATACTACTACATCAGTGTCATTACTACTTAAATAGTTATCAAAGGTACCAGGATTATAATTTAATACGCCAGACGCGCGTTTCGTCTACATAAGACTCACCAGTGACGCTCAGATCAAAATAGTTATAAAACCAAAGTTAAAGAGCATTGCGGACCCAAAATTTCAAAAAAAGTTGTGCCAAATACGGATTAGTTAATCTATTCCTGGGATAAGAAAATCCTTAGTTTTTCGAAAAATTCAAAGTTTTGTAAATTACTTTTTTACAACCAGCATGCTTATCATGGACAAACATTCGTGTATCTGCTTCTACATGGTTGCAGGGGGATATCTCGGAAATATCCGTATTGAAATTACAAAGAACATTTTCACCTTGAGTGACATAAACATTTTTATCAGTCTCTAAAGAAGCAATTCTGTCGGCAAGAAACTTGAACAATTCCGTTTTGTTGTCATCTTCACGTTGAAAACTACTCCAAACTCTTGGCGTTCTACCAGAACCAACAACTTTCCGTCTAGCACCAGTACCTCGTTTTCTTCTCGTCACAGCCTTTAAACTATTCTTTAGATAAACGTCAAATACAATGTCTACTCTTGAATACTGATCGGCGCAAGATTTTATGTAAGCCGGTATGACATCATTTGCATAATCATCAAATGTTTTTGCTCCACGTGGTGACCCGGAATTAACAATTGCTGCCACACCAACGATAAATGCGTCAGAATGTGGATCAGTTGATGGCAAATCGCAGAATGATTCAAGTATATCCATAAGCTGCGATTTAATACCACTGTTTAAAGTACCATCCTGAGACAACAAAGACGGTGGAGCAGTTTGGATTTAACGGCTAAAGAAATCTTCTAAGTCACACTGTCTACTTTGACACGAAATAAAAAGTCTACAAAAAGAGATCGAAATCACTTTTCAGGTTCTTTAGCTTTGTTTTACGGCTAAATAATGGGAAATTGTTCTTTTTTATCGGGTCATAAAAAGCAGATTCTCCTTCGTTTTGTATTTGTTTCAAAAGATCTTCGTATTGTTTGGACCAATATTCGAAATAACCTATCTTACCTGCTTCCGAATCAACAATTTCCTTAGAGTAAATTTTGTACAAATCTGATGACTCCTTTAGAAATGGATTTCCAAACTTGTGCATCACTTTAGAAAGTCTTTGAACCTTTTTGAAGAAATCCTTTTGCGTTGTTGTAGAGTCTTCATGGTGTCGTTCATCTGTTGTAGCATGACTCAAACCACTAGATATTTCAAATTTATCTATCAGTCTACTGACTTCTGGTCCAGCTACCATCCATCGTCCTAAAGCTGAGGGATTGACGGTTGAACATATGGCATACCATCGCCCTTCACAATTGCATTATTCTGTTCATGTGCCTGATCAATTGCGATATAAGAAAAACAACTTGCTGGCTGGTCTTACGTACATTGAAATTACCATTTGCAAATTCCATTGCCACCTGTGGGTGATGTTCGTAAAGGGAAGACATAACTCGGAAATGGATCGGTAACCATCAAGTATTGTATACACGATCAAGACCAAAAAAATACGGTATCATGTTTGATATGGACTGTTTGTAAATGAGCGTACTACCGAAAGCACAAGAAGTTCCAAATTCACAATTGAACGCCAGAAATTAAACTGTGGTCAAGATGTGTCTCTTTCCTTACACCAGTCTATTAAATCATCGAACGTCACAGAGTCATCATGTATATTTTCTGCGTTTATGCTTTCATAAGCCGACATTAACAATTCAAACAAAACACATGCAATTATCTGATGCACGTGTCTAGTCCTAGGTACCTTTTCTAAAAGTCACTATAATAATATTTGGAAAAATACTTTTAACAGGCCGATGGATCATCCTTTCACCACCTGAATTGTATGGGATTCGACTAGGTTCGTTGATATTGTACCTTCACCCAGCCCGGTAGTTCATTCACTGTATTTTAACTCCCGTGCGATCTGTACACCATCCAGAGGATTAATGTCTATTCCTCCTTGTCTCGGCTATCCTGCGTTGGCGCATCCTGTCGATTCAGGTACGACTTTGTGGCTTTAACAAAGGGGCAAACCATAAAAGTATTTGGAAGACTTTAAAATGAAAGCTGACAATGGACCCCATGCCGTGTTTATAATCGGCACCGATTTACATCAGTATGCCCTGGTAGTGCGTTCAAATCGCTCTTTATATCTATAAATAGTTTGCGCATGTGCGAAATTGTTAAAAGCATGCGCATCATAACCTTGAAAAATGTTAAAAAAAAAAATTCATAATATTATTTAAAATCTAAAAACACTAAGTGTACAGTGAATAGTTAAAAGGTATTTGTGTGAATTTTGTATTTTCGCGTATGCGCAAACCCTGAACATGTCAAATATTCATTTCTAGTATATACGTCACATGTTAAGAAGGTAACCAACAAACTTGATAGTTTTTCACTAACAGAAAGTCAAAGACAAATAAGTATTTTCGAACTGGAAACAACAGCCATTTTAGAAAAAGGCCATGGCCATCTTAAAAAAATGATTTTTTTTTATAGCCAGCAGTTGTTTCTTAAAAAGTATATACTAATTACGCTTCGTGCTAATTTTCATGCTTGAATCATGATTTGCACAATTCTTTCGATTTTGCTTGCTAATATCTTCAACTATATGATCCAAAGCACAATTTTGTAAAAAAATAAATAGGGTTTGCCCTTTTTTGCAGATAAAAGAAATTGGTTTTGTTTTGTATTTAACATCTAGAAATTACGTTTTAGTTCAAATGTTTATATGACCTAACGATTTAATGATTGATGATTATCAGTGATCATATTTCTATAACATCTGTAGTTTAATTTTGAAAAATACGTTTGTTTTAGTTTTTCAATATTAAACGCTATGGACTTTTTAAGCGTTACATATTTTGACATTTAAATCTATACTACTAAAGGAAGAGACCGATTTCATTGAGCCGCAACTCATCGAAACCATACAAAGTCGGAAACATTTGTGATATGACGTATAAATGTAGTGTTTGTACTTCCTAAATTTGTCTTTGAAACAATCTTTTTTCCACAGAAAACACCATTTTTTTTTAGAAAATATCCAAATTCGGAGACCGTTATCGATATGTGTCTCATACGCTTTCGCGCATGCTCAGTCAACGCACCCCCGACAACTCGGCCCATGGCCAACTAGCACAACTCAAACACTCTCACTAATTATAACAACTTGCATCACTTTATCAAACTCGCAATACTGAAAAAAAGAAATATAACAAACTCGAAGAAATGTGTTTAATCATTTGATTGTTTTCTTCTTCTCTTAGTAAATTCCTCCTTTCTCGGAGCACCCGTGTCACACAGAGACAGAACTCGCATCATTCGAAAAACAAAAAATCCTACAAAATCGCACCTCTGAAGAAATGTTTTAAATCATAAGAGAGTTCTATATTGTCTTCTTCTTCTCTGAGTATTTCCCTCTGTTCTTGGAGCACCCGTAACACACAGAGACAGAACTTGACTCGCACCTTCCGAAAAAAAAAAAGAAATACTACAAACTAGCAACACTGAGAAATGTTTTAATCATCAGTGTTCTAGGTTGTCTTCTTCTTGAGTTATTTCCTCCGTTCTAGGAGCACCTGTGTAACACCGAGACAGAAGCTACTAGTTGGACATTCAAACTCCTATGGAAGAAGAACTGACAAACTAATAAAAACTATCAACATAATGCATCAGTGCATAAAAACAGTTTGAGAAACACGAACCCAAGCTGTGTATCACCATAAACATTTCTAGTAGTCTTTTAGCCATCAAGGTTTTTTTCTAGTGAATATTAAAGTCAGAACAATATTTGAACAACCAGTGTGCCAAATTTTATTTTATTATACTTCACGTCAAAATGCCAGATTTTGATTGGTTAATACGAGGGAGACAATTTACTCTATCACATGGTAAATACTCTATTACCCTTCACAACGACGCTTGCTCAAGTTTGCGCTTTAATAAATACGGCTGATTTTTATGTACAAGACGACATAGTTTATTACTTTGAATTTGAAAATTAATAGACAGTAATAACAGAACATTCAGTAAAATGAATTAAATAACACATATCTGAGAGGGTGATAGAGCAGATTGTTACCCCTCGAAAAGACATTGTCAGCCTTGGCTTTGCCTCAGTTGACAATGTTTTCTCGGGGTAACAATCTACTCTATCACCCTCGCAGCTATGTGTAATTTATATAATGTAATGATTTTTTATTTTAAAAGATGTTGAAAATTGAAGTAAATCATGTTTTTCACAGTCATGTTGTGTTTCCTTTTTTTGGGGGGGAGAGTATATATGGACAGTGATCTCGTAGAATATACCTTACTGTTTAGTTAATTTATTATTCCCCCCTCGGCTTACATTATTCTACAAAAGGAGAATAACAAAATTTATCCGACAATGTTTTAATTTTTTTTTAAATATGATCCGTAGGCATAACATAATGTTTTGATGTCTTCAATTACTTATATGAAAGCTATTGCTCAAAACAAAAAAATGGGGTGGAAACATGGCATTGAAATAAAAATCAGTTAAAATGAAAAATGTGAGTAATAAAAGCTTGTTGTAGTTCAAATTAAATTGTAAATAATTTTGCAAACTGATCTAACTAAATAAAGATTTTTCTTTTGGCAGAGCAGTTTGAACGACGTTTGAAACAGTGGAAAGAGGATGATAAAATGTTTTTCAGGACAGCAGCAGAGAAACAAGTAAGGACAAGTATTTTGACAGAAAATTGTGTAGCAATTGTTGGAAATTCTGGCACTGGAAAAACTTTTCTTTCACACCATGTTTCACTGACGATGATGGATCAAGGCTATATTATAATTCCGTGTGAAAGCCCCGGTGATATTAGACAATGGTTTAAACATGGAAGGAAAACAATATTTGTCTTTGATGACGTCTGTGGGCGGTATACTCTTAATCAACAGATTTTCAATGAATGGAAACAAAGACTGGAACATATTAAATCTCTACTTGAAGACAACTGTTGTAAAATGATGTTTACGTGTAGGCTTGATGTTTATAAAGAAGAGCAATTTAGCAGTCTGTCTATTTTCAAAACGTGTACTATTGATTTAAGTTCACAAGAATTAAGACTTAGTGCTGCTGAAAGATTTGCATTAGCCAAAATGTACTTTGGAGAAAATGCCGGTAAAGTCACAGAATTGTCAGAAAAATATGATTTTTTCCCACTTTTATGTAGTTTATATCATAAACAGAAACTCCAGAAACATATAAATATAAGTAATTTTTTCAGCAATCCATTTGATGTTTTTCAAAACGAACTGGAGAACCTGTATAGAGAAGGGGATGCTGGTAAGATGAAATATTGTAGCTTGGTCCTTTGTGTGATGTTTAACAACACATTGAAAGAAGAAATGTTCTCAATAAAATTTAAAAAGTCAGGGGCAGTAATAGAAGATTTACTGGATAAATGTGAACTGAGTATTGAAACGTCAATGGAACGTTTAAGAAAATCCCTCGAAACCCTCGAAGGTACATATGTAGTTAAGGAAGACGGAACATACAAAATAATCCATGATAAGTTGTTTGATTTTCTGGCAAAGTACTTTGGGGAGAAGATGATTCAGCTCTTCATTGACCATGCCAAAACTGGATTCATACGCGAGAGATTTATATGCGAGACAGTGAATAACATGGACACAGATATAGAGTTTGCTATAAGAATACCCGATAACAAAATGAACAGATTTATAGAAAGACTCCTGAAGGACTGGGAGGATGGTTTTGTAGACAATGTATTTGATAACAGAAACATGAATTCTTCTACATTCAAAACGAAGTTTATAAACAATTTAAACAAGCTTGACCAATCAAAACAAGAAGAACTAGCTTGTAAACACGATATAAAAAGTAAAGATATAGCACTTGGAGGTAGTTGTTATGTGGGTTCCGTTGACCTTGTCAGATGGTTGATTAGTAGGAAAAGTGACATTAATTATTGTAAAGAGGATGGTTGCTTTCCTTTATTTTGGGCAAGTCAGGAAGGACATATTAATGTTGTTGAAGAACTACTACAGCAATCGGCAGAAGTAAACCAATATAACAACAATGGTGTATCATCTCTGCATATAGCAAGTCAGAATGGACATGTTAATGTTGTTAAAGAATTGTTAAAATATTCAGCAGAAGTAAATCAGTGTAACTTTAATGGTGTATCACCTCTGTATATAGCAAGTCAGGATGGAAATGTTGATATTGTTAAAGTACTGTTACAACATTCAGCACATGTCAATCAATGTATGATTAATGGTGTATCACCTTTGTGGCAAGCAAGTCAGAATGGACATGTTGATGTTGTAAAAGAACTATTACAACATTTAGCAGAAGTTAATCGGTGTGACGAGGATGGTTACTCACCTCTGTATATAGCAAGTCAGGAAGGACATGTTGATGTTGTTAACGAACTGTTACAAAATTCAACAGAAGTAAACCAGTGTGCTAATAATGGTACATCACCTCTGTGGATAGCAAGTCAGAATGGACATGTTAATGTTGTTAAAGTTCTGTTAAAACATTCAGCAGATGCCAATGTATGTGTAAATAATAGCATCACACCGTTACTGATTGCTTGTTACTATAACAGAATGGAGGTGGTACACGAACTTCTTAAGTATAATGATGTTGATATTGATATCTGCGATAGTAATGGATGTTCTTCAATTTATATAGCAAGTCAACAAGGCCATGTTAATGTTGTAAAAGAACTGTTGCAACATGCAGTAGAAGTAAACAGATGTAAAAATAATGGCGTATCACCTTTGTATATAGCAAGTGCGATTGGACATGTTAATGTTGTTAAAGAACTGTTACAACATTCTGCAACAGTGAGCCAGTGTGACAATGATGGTGTATCACCTCTGTATATAGCAAGTCAGAATGGACATGTTGATGTTGTTATAGAACTGTTAAAACATTCTGCAGAGGTAAACCAGTGTGACAATAATGGTGTATCACCTCTCTCCATAGCATGTCAGGAAGGACATGTTAATGTTGTTAAAGAACTGTTGCAAAATTCAGCAGACGTGAATCAGTGTGACAATGATGGTATATCACCCCTGACTATAGCAAGTCAGAATGGACAGGTTGATGTTGTCAAAGAACTATTACAACATTCAGCAGACGTGAAACAGTGTGAAAATGATGGCAATTCACCTCTGTGAATAGTAAAACAGTAAGGACATGTTGATGTTTAATACTAGTAATTGTTACAACATAAAGCAAATGTCAACAACTGTGCCTTTAACGGTAGGAATCATCTAAGTGTAGCTGAGGACCATGTACTCTTAGAGATATAGTCATTGCTATAAGGTCCAGTTGCAAATCGACATTGATGCCACAATGATGAATTCGCTGTGAAGGAGATGTTCGAAGGTTTTGTATTTGGACAAATCTCTACTTAGCATCCTTTCTCAATCGTATGTTTATATGCACAAACCTAACAGATAGTTAACAGTATAGGTAGTATTGGATTAGGTTATTCACAACACTCGGAGAAGCTCATGCTAGTTAAAATTTTAACGTATCGAATTGTATTGTGTTTAATACATTATATTGATCTCTATGTTTTTTTTCTGGATTAATTGTATTTAAGATTGCGGTCATATACCCATATCTCTTTTATCCTAATTGCAAACGTTTGATAAAAAATGCAGTGCTTATGCCATGTGGATTATATACTATCTGATTATTCATAACGATGTGAGTGTGTGCACTGACGAGAAATAGGATTAGTTCAAAATATCAGAAAATTTGTCTTAAGGGCATACGATACAGTAGCAGGGGCAGACAATAACGTTTTCAAAACTTTTCGTGTTGTTTTCGCGACGTTGTTAGTCTGAACGCTGTAATTTCGCGATGTTTCTAATAAGAACGATTACATTTCGCGACGTCGATTTAGATGTAGTCACATTTGCGAAAAATCCACTGACGTCATTAATCCGGTTGCGCGAATTTGAAAAAAATACCTGCTTAGACAATCGGCCATACCACGAGAATTGTTATATTTATTCATTTATAATGAAGTCAACAGTATTAACTTGAAATGCGAAAAAACTTAAATCCGCATTCATAATTTTGTATGTGTTTTGAATGACCTTTTCAATGATTGAAACTATGCACAAGCTGTGTTGTCTACATTAATTGTATGACTAATGTCGGACAGAGATGCAAATTAATTTTTTATTATATTTATCTTTTCCAAACATTTCTTTTCTAAAAGAAGTTTACTAGAATACTTTTTCTATCCAAGTTTCGTAACAATTCTTAAAGGTTTGGCAAATATTTTATGCTATTTTACGAGTAACCAACTTTATAATTTTTGATGATTAACATCATTGCTTTTGAAAAAAAACATTGGCAATACCACTGAACTCGACAGCGTAGTCGTGGACGGCGGGAAAGATTTCACGACGTTGTTGCGATTAAAATTTATTTCAACGTTATTTAGCGCCTTATTGGCAAACGTCCGGTTTGCCATTAAAAATCAAGGTTTATTGCTTTTATTGAAAAAAACAAGCACATGGACCCCCTTTTTTTATGCAATCAAGCAAGTAATGTTTAAAGAACGCAACGCCAAAATTTAAAGAAAAAAATCAACGATCGAAAATTTTCTGCACCTCTGAATAGACGCTAAAAATATTGTCAATTTCTTTATTTCAATCATAGGAATATAAATTAAGTAAATAATGATTTGGTTTAACCTTAAACTTGTTACAGCATGTTGATGCCATGGATCAAGGGAACGTTTTACAAAAAACCAGGTTAAGTTATGACTCTTCGTTCAAAAGTATTGTTACTTTCCTTAAAATCCTTATTTATGAAATTTCAGGGTTTTTCCTTCAAATATGCAAATTTCGAACCAAATTATCTCAAAAAGTAAGTCATGAAGGTAAATTTTTCTTTGCATGTTTCAAAAGTACACATTGAAATTGACTTTCTACCAAAATTTCAAGAAACAATCAACGAGGGATCTCTACTGTATCGTATGCCCTTAATGTGTGTACATGTCCCAATACGTGAATGTGAATATTAACTTACTTCATAACTCAATCGATTTGCAGTTATCAGAAAAGTGTTAGATAGAAGTACAATTGTTCACATTTGCTGGTTAAAATGGACGATTGTAGAAACTTTGAAATACCTTTCGGATTTCATACTGGTAACAACCAACTATTGTGGTTAAAATTTACCATAAATTACAGTTAAAGTATAACAATAAGTATTGTTTAAGTTAAACAAAAAATGTGGTGAAAGTTTACCAATATTAACCATACATTGTTGTTTAAACTGACCTGTAATGATTGTCACTACTTATTTTAATATGCAAAATGTTGATGACACAAAGTAAGCGTTATTCAAGTATTTTGTTGCTAAAATTGTCGATAACATCTGCAATATAACAAAATCTTTTGTTCTATATTTATCTTAAGTCTTATAGCCGTATTCTCGATATTGGTCCATGCTTACAATTAAGACACTAAATGCACTGAGCCCAAATTTATAACGAAAGACGAGCGCGTCACATTGGTTCCTCCTACGGGACACTTTTATATTTATCTCTATTTTGAATTTTCGCAAGTATAGCTGAATTAAAATCAATTTGATGAAGGATACTTGAGTACATCCGATTCTTATACTGAAGAGGGGTGAAGTAATACTGAACCTAGATCTGATACACGCCGAAGGTTAGAAAATGAACAAATAGTTCAATGTATTTTTGAAATTGTTTATGAAGAAACTCACTTAAATAACATATCTATCAATGCTGTTTGTGGCAATATTTCTATTCAGTTTTAGGGTTTAGTTGCAGCCATCAATACCATTGGTGATACTGTAACTGATTAGAAAGAAACACCAGACATATTTGACAGTAGAAAAACTACTATGAGGAGTACTTTTGAAACCCTTGCAGACATCGTGAATTCTTTGGTCGAAATTGTTAAAATGATGAAACTTATGTCTAAAAACAAAAAGAAGGTCTGTCCAAGTCAACAGAGATATCAATAACAGTTTAAACTAAATCAATTGAAATGAATCAATCACAGAATCAAATTGATATTGGGATAAAAAGTCTTCAAACTGAGCTGAAAGTGAATGTCTTAGCTGAAACTGGGTTCTGTTATCATGATTCCAGACAAACCTATATGCGGAAATGCAAAGTGTCATTTAAATGGTAGTCCAATAGATAAGACTAGATAACATTTCCAAAAAACAAAGGAGAACTCGTTTGGAAGATTTTGAAACACTTATCAGGAAGTAGATAGACAATTTGTGACGTCTTATGCTTACATTACATTGATGCAATTTCCTGTTTGTGTTTGTTTTGTATTATGGACTGAAAAATGTTAAATAGTAGGTTCAGATATACTTTAAATATTACTACCATTTTCCATTCTGATCCAATTCATTTTGTTGGAGGTCAAATACCAACAAAGAGGCGGGCAGTGTTGCAGCCTATTAATTGACTTGTTTATTTTATTTTCATTTTCTATTTATTCATCATGTTTGAAATGTTTTATTATTATGTTAGCCAATATTTATCGATTACCCGTTTACCTACAGTACATGTACACAGGTTTGTATTTGTTGCGCAAATACTTTAAGTACCTGATCTAATTTATCTGAGTGTTTTGTTTAATTATCACATGACTGGTCAGTTTTACTATAAAAGGCGACTGCAAGAACACGTAAGAAAAAATTATTAAAATCAGTTGAAACAGGCTTAACTCATCAGATCGATACAAAGTAAAAAAATGAAACAAATTACAAAACACACAGAGTGGACGTGGCAGGGTACGTATACATCCCCACTACAAAAAGACACTAACTACAGATCTGAGAGTACTCGCAGTTACTGATAGCTAGTTCAAAGCCAATATATAACAACTAATAAAAAAAATCATACATTTAAGACTAAACTATCAATCAGTCCACATCAAGCATCCAATGGATGTAGTGGAAATGACGTCATTAACAGAAAAAAAAACATGACCCTGTGCAATGCCAAGATACACGTTTCGACAGATTGTAGAGCCATTTAGGTGCATATGTATATAAAAATAATATCTAATTGTCCCCCGCGAAACGCGTTGCGGGGGTCATAGAAATATCGGGCGTACGTACGTCCGTCCGGTCTTGTTAGCGCTCTCACGTGTACAGTTCTTTTTATGAAACTTATATCATAAGTTTATTTTAACAATGTCTTGGACAAGTTCGAAAATCAGTGCCGATCAATTACCTTTAAACGAGTTATGCCCCTTGGAAACATTAATTATATGGAAAATTGCATTGTTAGCGCTCTCATGTGTACAATTCTTGCCAGATTTTTATGAAACTTATATCATAGGTTTATATTAGCAATGTTTTAGACGAGTTTGAAAAACAGTGCCAATCAATTATTTTTAAAATAGTTATGTCCCTTAGAAACATTACTTTTATAGAAAATTGCATCGTTAGCGCTCTCATGTATACAATTCTTGCCATATTTTTATGAGACTTTCTATCATAGGATTATACTAGCAATGTTGGACGAGTTTGAAAATCAGTGCCGATCAATTCTTTTTCCTTGGAAATATTATTTTTATGGAAAATTGCATGATGAGCGCTTTTATTTGTACAATTCTTGCCAGAATTGTATGAAACTTATTTATCATAGCTTTATATCAGCAATGTCTTTGACATTTTTGAAAATCAGTGCTGATCAAATGTTATTTACAAGTTATGTCCCTTGGAAAAATTAATTATAACGGAAATCGCATTGCATTTGCTCTGAAGCCTTCATTTCTCTAAGAGATTTATAAGTTATTTTAAAGAACAAAACAAATTGCCCATGTACATTGGATAGATAAAATATGTGCAACGAGGGGGCCATTGTTCTTTTATTTGATTTTAATTTAGTGATAACAAAATCAGTATTAATACCAATAAAAACAATATTCAAAGATCTAATTAGTGTTGAATTGTTAACCTTTTAGAACAAGTTTATTTAATAGATCGATAAGTTTACCGGGATCGTATCTAAATTTCCGGGCTCGATAAACAACATCTCCGGAAAAATTGGGATGTGCTATCCCGTTAAAAATAAGTTTTCTACAGGTACAACCAAACTTTCGAACCAAATCGTTATATCTATGGAAGAATTTAGTAAATGTTTAAATAATTTGTGGTAACGAATCCCTGACTGAATAATTTACCAATTACTGTAATGCATAGACTACATTAATTGAAATCCAAAACGTCACAACAGACACTGGCATAGCGAACTAAAAAGAAAAAATTAGCAATAAGGAACGAAAAATTGTAAAGTTTAGTGTAGTTTCCCGTGTAAAACTGAAATATACCAATCTAGGAAAGAACATTTATTATCATTTATATTTGATTTATTTAAAGTAAGAGCCTTTGGGTAAATTTCGGCAGTATATTTAGAAAATTCCTGATTATTTAACGAAAATATACAATCAAGATAACGGTAAGTGTTGTTGAATTTATCAATTAAATGCAATTAAGATGGGTTATTAATGAGTTTGGTCATAACAGTACAAGGACAAGTCTGCTATTAAAAGGGCACAATTGGTGCCCATAGGAATACCTACAACCTGTCGATAATTTTTATTGCCGAAACGTACATAAAATATTATCAAGGAGAAAATTAACAGCTTCAATCATCTCATCATACCTCCAGTAAGTATATATAGCATATTTACCTTTCTCATTAGAGAAGGCGTCTTTAAATGAGTTGCAGCAAATATGTTTGCATTCAGATTTACCAAACGGCCATTTAATTAAATAGGAATACTTTTGTTTGATAAGATTGTGTGGAAGTGTAGTATTAACAGATGAAAATTCAAAACTGTCAACAGAATTACAAGGGCCATCAAAAACACGTAATTTATCTAAAACATCCAAAGATTTTTTTTACACTGATTATTAATAAATGAGCGTTGGATAGAAATCGACTAATGAAAGTGAATATCAATACACCTGTAAAGCTATTTCGGTTGAAAATTTTATGGAGAGTCTGCAAATGTTTGAAACTTGAGTTGATATAAGAACCCTACAAAACAGACAAAAAACGTCTTTTATTTCGTATTTGAATGTTCCAAAATCAATCAAAGTCTTATACATGTACACGTATACTTGCACTTGCATATTACGACGCAG